CTGTGACTTTCTATACAGATTTCATAGGGAGGCATGATATGTGTTTTCCCTTCAGCAGCATATTCACGGAGTGAAAGTAGCTAAAGTAACGCATAGTTTGGTTTGGCTATCAGTAGTGAGGGTTGTTTATTTTATTCCTCTCAGAGCCTTAATCCAAACTACTGAAATTCTAGGGAAGGAGCAGGGTTTGTGGCAAACATTCTTCTCTTGGCAGATCTCCAAGAGGAAGATAGACTGTTTATTTTATCTTAAACTGTTGTTAGTTCATGATTTATAGGATCAAAAGCCTTAGGGGTATAAATTGGTTCAACTTATGAAAGTGGAGTTTAAGTTAAAAAAAATACTAAAAAAAAAAAATCAACGTAATCTTCTGGTCTACAGTTGAGAAGGTTGCTATGTATCATGCCTTGGAGTGAATTGTATAGGCCACCAGATTAATTGCTTTGATGTCATATTTATACAGGGCCAAAAAAGTTCACAATTTTTTGGAAACAAATAAAACACGTGAGCATGCCTCAAAGAACTTGATCTTCTCTGAAAAATATTGGTTTTTGTCAGATACAAGCCCATTTAGAAGGGCATGTTTCCGCATGCCCTTAAGGGTTATGTGTGCTTTATTCCCTGTATTCCCTGAAACAGAAGTGTAAATTATCCCCCTGGGAGGGAGGGATCAGACACAACCATTTCAGAAGATGATGATGTATGAGGCCACCAGAACTAAACTCAGTAAGATCTAACGCTGTGCCATCTAATGAAGAAGCAAAGTATGGTTTGTAAACACAGGCATGTTTGGCGTGTAAGTCATTCAATTGGGATCCTTTTTTAGGTATGTGCAGTGCCTGGCACAGTCCAAATAGCGAATAGTGGCAGCTGGCACAAAGCAGAAGAAGCCCTCTTGATATCAGCCTTTATCCTTCAGGGTCTCCTACACCCCAAGCAGAGCAAGCTGTAAGACCAGGGCTGTCATGACATCAAGAAGTAGGAGATGAAGTAAAGTGAATGAAGCACCAGAGGTTTTGCTAGTGATACTAAACGTCGGGACAGTCAAGCTTTCAGACAATTCCTCTGAATGCCCTGATAAAAATAATACAAATCCCAAATTCCTGAGCGTGTCTTCTGTTAGCTTTACCCCACCTTCCCATCTCCTCTCCTCCAACCCACCTCCACGTACATGTGCCCTGTACTACCTGGAGGTTCAGGAGCCCCATCACTTGCCCACTGCTCCAACCGAATTCACTTGTCACGGAGCATTACCAAGGCCCTCAAAGGGCCGTGGTCCATCCAGGTTGATATGGAGCTGAAACAAAAATGGGGAGTGCTGTGAGGCATCATGATTGGCCTGTTATGTGGCAACCTACTTGTAAGAGTAGTAAGATCAGGTAGGTGTGTTACTTTAGTAAGTATACTGTTTCTTTTACCTTTCTTATGATTCCTTTTTTATCCTTGAGACAATCCTGGAACAAATGTTGCAAATCTACAGATTGTACAAGAAGAACCTGAACATGCCCTACACAGGAGAAGCTGAAAGCATTAAATTGCCCATTTAAAAAATAATTAACAGGCATTATCACACAGTAAAGACTTCAGAGCAAACTTCTGTTAAGACTGTTGTTTGAACATGTGGTAGGACACACATGGTTAGTCGCATTATGTTGAAAAACATGACTTACAAAAACATGAGCAGGGAGTTTACAGCCTCTTACGGCCTTTTGAGAAGAGGTGAAACGCTTTCATATATACTTGGCATTGGAAAGCCTCCAATCCAATAGGTGATTGATTAGGGGGGATGCTGAAGATTAAGCTGTGAGGTATCTGTAGTCAGATCTCTGCCTTTTGTGTTTCAGCACAGGATTGTCATATCAGCAGGATCTCTCTGTAGCTGAAATTCAGAAATACCATTGTTGTCCCAGCAGGATCCTTAGCACTTTCAAAGAATACATGGCCTTTCCCTTGCAAGGTTTCATAGGAGATCTGCAGCACTAACTCCTGTTTCTATTAAGCATTCTTAATCAGTTGGAGATGAAACAGTGAAATCTGGCCTGCCCTTCTGGTCATTGTTCAACAGCAGATCATGAAGCTCTGCAAATTCCCACTTTGTTCCTTGACCATGGACATCAGCTGACAGATAGACCTCTTCAGCTTTCTCCTTCCTTAGTTAATTCCTAAAATAAAGGAGAGAAGACTAAAGCAAAAGCCTGCAAAGCACTTTACAACCCCAAAAGTTATTATTTCCAGTAGAGCTAAGTAGCAGATAAAGGCATTTTATTGAGGATAATAGATAGTTCTGATGCCGTCATCCAGTACATTTGTAGTTTATGTTGCAGGGTGCACTCTTGGAAATAAATTCCCCTTCTAGCTTTATAAAGATTATAGAGAAATTGCATGTTACTGAAGTGGTTTTGCAACCAAAGATGATGTTTCTTGAACAGTAATTTCTGGAAGGGAAGGAAAGCCTGGTGATACACACCATTAAATTAAAAACACAAGGCACCATGGAATTAACCTGGAAAGAGAAAGTTTAATTTAAAACAAAAAAATCAAGTGAAGATAGGTTTTCCATCTCTTGCTAGGATAAGTAACTCACAGTTCTGAACAAGAACACACGCTTTGCCTTTTTTCTGCCAAGCCTCTTTGCTACTGCTACTCCATCCCACCGTCCATAGTCCCATAAAAAATAATGTTCTGTGAGTGCGTGACTTGCTGAGAGGAGCCAGTTAACCAAATATGCCTCCAGCATTGCCACAGGTCAATTATTCGCCAGTCATTTGCAGGGCTTGCTGGCTTTCATCTAAGCAGTTAAGACCAGTTAGAGTGAAAATGTGTCACTACAGTTGTTATTAAAGAAAGACAACACAATGAAAGAAAAAGGGTGAGTCCACATATATATATCTAAAATCTACACAAATACATATGTTTTCACTGATATATTTAAAAGTGTGTTCCTGTTGCTAAATCCATGAGGAAGATTTTCTTTGAACAAAAAACTTCTTTAGTAATCTGGTACATATCTTGGGATAAAATGTATAGTCTCAGACTTTTGTCCGTGCGTATCTGAGCTATTTTCTCCCCAGATTCTAACTATAGAGCACTTCTGTACTAACCACAGCACTTCTCTACTTGGGATAGCATTGTTAAGGGCATATGAGTCATTGGCCATTAATGCACTTGGAAACACACTATGGGAATGGCCAAGCACTGTGTAGCCCATCAGCAAAATGTTCTGTGCCCTACCATTTGATCACAGAATATTACTCTTCTAGCCAAATTGTAGCTGATTTTGTTATTTGGGATTTTTTTTTTTTAACCTCATCTGTAATCTTTAACAATGTGCTGCGATATATTTAACCCACTGGCTGCTCTAGCAATTATCTGAAAATCAGAACAATTTGTTTGAAACCTTTTCAGGTTAAAAACTGGAACAATTAATTCTGTTTCCCAGAGAAGAATCTCTAGCACCTTAATTTGATTGCATCAGTGGTCAGTGAGCTAAAAGACAGAAGGACTCACCAGAAAGTGTAAATTATGTAGTGTCCAAAAATAATAAATAATAAAATCACAAGCCCACATTGTCTCTAAAGACTCTGTGGTTAGCGACTGCCCTCCCTACAGCTGCTTGCTCTGACGATGAGTTTTACAGAGGCAGGTGTAATAACACTGGGTACAAAATAAGAGTTGTGGCTCATAGAAGGGACTTAGGCTTTGGGGCAAATTCATAAGACTGGGCCTAAAACCAAAACAAACTCCACTCCTTCCTGAACAGACAGTTGCCCCACTCCAGCTGCACGCATACACACGGATCTGCCAGCTGTGGAGTACAGGGTCTATTGAGAAATGCCTGTCCCGTCTTTAAAGCCTCTTGTGGCACTTCAACTCTGTGGACTTGGGTTTAAGAGCTCTGTAGGGTTTGGACAGTAGTTTTTCTTTGTTTTATAAACATCACTTTCTAATCATGGTAGAAGAGAGCTTTTTCTTTTGCTTTTTTTTTTTGTGTGTTTATCAGTTTAGAGCTGAAAGTAAATGCTGGCCACTTCCCACGTGCTGTTCTGTAATTAAGGTTTCTTCACCCTTTTTGTCAGTGGAAGCAATTTCATATAACTTTTGACTGCAGCATTATTTTATACACTACTTTTCCAATAAATTGTGTTGAGCACCTACACTACAGTAAAATAACATGCATCCCATTTAAAACTGTTCCCCTCCAAGGCACTGAGGTTTCACATAAGTGGGATATTGTCTGATAAACTGTTTGTAACATCATGTACAGCTGAAAAAACAGCCCAGCTGGTGAGGCTGGGGTGGTTGTAGAAGCAAGGGTTACTTCCCATCACTAACGTGCTGATCACTCTCCTCAGCCTGGCCGGTGCAGTGATTTAGTGGCTGTGGCTGAGGGAACCTCGTTAGTTCCACTTGTAGGTTTCATTTAAGGGTTTTTCCTCTTGACAGTAAAGCTGTGGTGTGATGGCAGTTATTAGTGAGCCCACAGGAGAATTGTGTTGGACATGCGTCAAGCTACAGTCTATGGCTGTTAGTTCTTTAATTAACCTTGGGTTATAGGGAATTGCTGTAAAAGGCTCCACAAGCTTTCAGAGCTAGGGTTTCTTCCTATAAAACCCACCCCTTCCTAAAAATGAAGTAAAGACATTTTCACTGAGGGGTTTCTCCCTCTTTTATTCTTGGAGCAAGAGGTTGAAACAGGAACAAGGTTACCAAAACACTATGACTGTGAGGAGGTTAGAGAGACCTTTTTCAAACCCTCACTAACACCACCAGCTCCATTTGTGCTAAACTGAAAGGAATTAATATTATTTTTTTTACAGTTACACCATTTTTTTGGCCAGGTTATTGAGAAAGTAGTGAGACCATGTTGGCTTTTATTAGGAAAACATGATTGTTGTAATCTCAAGAGACAGAAAGGTCTATTCCTTTGTACGGTCTCATAAGCAATGGGGTTGCAGTTAAAGCTAGACATGAGAGCCTCCTGCTACAGTTACTAGGGGCATTTCTTTAGGTAGGCAAGGGGCATGATGGTCTACAGTCAGATTCAACGGGGTATATTTTTTAAGCACCAGGTCCTGGTAGAGTTTCCTGTAAAAGGTACAAATCTAGAAAAGTTTCACAGCAATCCTTCTGAGAGACACAGACTGCCCAACGAGTTGATTGTGTGTGTGCTTTTCAGATGAGAGTCTACTGAATGAGGGCTTCTGCTTGCTCTAGTTTCAAATCCCTACAAAAGCTTTGCAAGTGGAGTTTTCCTCTTGACCCCATACTGTGCAACATCATATGTACTGCTTACAGTCCAGGGATGCTTGTATTTCAGGAGCTGTTTGTGTGTGCATCACAAAATGATAATCTCAAGCTCTCTACCATATCTTTCAGTGTTTTACATGCCTGTGAAGTAGATAACCAGAGTCTCTCCCATTGCCGTTTTGAGCCTTTGTCAGCAGTTTGTAAGGTCTTTTGAAACCTTTCTGTAGAAGGGGCTACACACTCAGAAAGTGGTTTGAAGTGTGTGGGTTTCCCCCCAAACATTTTTACCCACCATGACAAAGAAATTTAAAAAGGCATGTGGAAGCCCAATTTGCCATTCAAAGCTGCATTCTGTGTTTTATTGCATTGCATTGCATTTTAGATGGCTGGCCAAGGGACTGGAGAGCGTCCTTTAGAAAGAAGCTGGGTCCATGAAGCGAGTATTTTACTAACAGAGCCAAGAAGCCCTTCCTTTGCTAACACCCCAAACGAGCTCACATATGCTGGCTCTGATGGTTGTACAGCTCCCCCGACGTTTTATCCAAACTGTGGCTCCATTCACTCCCGGCGATTGCAGCGCCGCAGGGCTGTGTCAGTGCTAACATTTCCTCTAAATCGTCCCTTAGGCTGCTGCTTGGCACAGCATCAGCGCTGCCAGCAGCGAGAGAAGCACAGAGGCACAGAAGCCCTCTGCCCCCTCCACTGGCATTTTAACATCTAGCCTTGCTCTGAGCGTTTGGAGAATTACAGCTTGGATGTAACAAGATTGTATTTTTGACAGCTTAACATTATGTGATCTATTTATTAAATAGAAAGTGCTCTGACAAGGAAGAGTAACCTCATTCTTGCCATTTCAGAAAGGGAACTGGCAGGCACCACCCTTGCATGGTAGGCAGCATGGTAGCCTGGCTCTGCTCTGTTCTTCACGGGAGCAGATTTTAACAAATATTGTAAGGTGGAATTATACCCTGCAAAGCAGGAGATGGCAGGAGATACATCTCCTAGGAAGGGCTAAAATGCAGACTGGAGTGGGACTGCATGGTCACGTATATTTATGACCATGCAAAGCGCTCAGTTATCTGCAGGACAAGGGAGTTAGCATCTGCTTTTTAAATCTTTGCATGTTTGTTATGTCCAGTCCTTCCATAAATATGGGGGTGTTCTCCTATGTCTATAAAAAGACATGAGTCATAATTTTCATAAAGTATGGGATATTTCAAATATATCAGTTTTTGGGTGTCCCACACAAGACAGCTGGCAGGGCTTAATTTTCACAGAGTGGGTGCTAAAAATGAAGCTTTTATGGGTACATTAAAGTTAGCCACTCAAAGCAGTGGTTACTTAGCCAGTCCTTTGGTCATAAGGGTATATAATATCATGTAAAACTAAGTCAATTGTTTATTGCTAGTATTTATTTTTGGAGCCAGTGGCTAAATCAATACAAAAATGGTACATTAGTGCTGGCTTCATTTAATAAAGTAAAATTACTGAGCAAAGTCCCTGTTCTACTTTCCATACACCCCACACATTCCTCCTTCTGAAAGAAAAAAGGGAGTCCTTCCCTGTAGTGCCTCGTTTGAGTAAGCTTTCTCCTATGCTATTGATAACGCTCATGAAGATATGTGAGTGACCTTGTTTAATGCATTTATTTTAACAGACAAATTTTGGTATTGTCGACTTTCACCTAATCACAAGGTCTTGCACTATGGAGACTTGGAAGAAAGTCCCCAGGGAGAAGTCCCCCATGATTCCTTGCAAGATAAATGTAAGTCATGCACAAGGATTGTGCTACTTTTGCTTCTTTTATGCGAATTCCTCTTTATAACTTTTAGTAGCTTTCTCTTAACACAGGACGTGACCAACAGCTCTTTATACGGACATAGAAAGCAGAGAACATTTCCTCCTGCATTCAAACACTGCTCTCCTGGTTTTGGCAAGTGTGTAAGAGGACTGAGCTCAGCTTTCCAACGAGTTTATAATTTCATTCAGCTTGGAAATTTCATGCCTTTCATGGGAAGGAACACAGTTTATTTTCATTGCTTGTCTAACTGCAGATGTCAAATAAAAATATTTGGGCACCTTCAGAAGCACTTCCTGTTCATGGAGACATGTTTCTTCTGTGGCAAACAGTCTAGTGACTGAAGGAGAAATCCGTGGCAGGCAGAGGTCTTTTTCATTATTGTAGAGAGTGGACTTAAAGATGACACGTTGCTCTGAACAGTGTTAAGAGGACCTCGCAGTTACTGTGTGCCCAACTGGGAGAGGATATGCCTTTGTGACAGCTCCTACCAGGGGATTTATTGGGATATTTTTATGGGCAAAAGTAATTTGGTAGCGCTTCAGAAGATCATAGCTCTCGTGAAAATTTCTTCTTAGTCCTTCAACATGAGTTGTAGATATTTAAACTGCAATCCTGGGAAAGTTTTTTGCGTTGACCGAGATAATTACCAGTGTAGCTCTGTCACCAGAAAGTGACTCCAAGAAATCAAGCATTGAATAAGGAACCATTTCTTTCTGTTCTTTTCTGAACCTCCATTAGTAATAAATGCCATTCTTGGCATTATTAAATTAGACATGCTTGTACAAGTATTCCAGTTGGTAGCTCCACTTCTTTCATGGAATAGCAGAAAGACTCATTTTTCAGACACTGGAAATTTCTCCAGCCTGAAAATTGAGAAAGGAGAAAATCAGTGATTTAAACCTTCCTGTATATTAGTAAAACAAAGAATTGTTTCTCTTCTCCCCCAACCTATCTCCAGGCAGCACCTTTTAAAATTTCTGTGTGCTCCCAGGCACAGTCTGGGAAGGAAAGAGGAAGAGCCTGTCTGATGCTGGAGCCCTGGCAGTTCGCAGTCACGTTCCCTTGTTTTCATTGCCTTACAGATTGCCTCAAGGATGTTTCACGCTCTTACTGCAGATTTGGCAGAATGTTGGACGGGAGTTCACATTGCTGCATTGGCACTGGAAGAGGCTGTTTTTCTGGACGAGGCTTAGAGAAATAGCCCTTGAATGTTAACAGTAGCGTCAGGATGAGAGCAGAATGATGAAGGTCACGCTTGAACTGCAGGCACAGTTATGAGACCAGCAGTTCCCAGATTTGTTTGCTTGGAGCGCACTTCCATGCTCAAACCCCTGACCCTGACTGCAAGCTTCATCTTGCATTTGCATCTCTGTAGGCTCTTGAGCCTACTCGGGAATGTCAGGATCCCATGGGAACAGAAGGCTCCTACTTTAGGAATCACTGGGCCAGACCCACATGTTCCCTGTGCATGCCTGCTGGCAGAGCAGACTCTGATGCAGTTTGAGAAAGATATGGTTATTTCATCAATATCTCAGGTTTTCAGGTGATGAAGGATACGAGTGCCACCCACATTAGAGTTTAATTAAAAAGAGTTGAGAATATTGCAAGATAGAAGTGGCACTATTGTTCAAAAGGTGTCAGGCCAAACTGGCTTGGGAATTTTACAGAACATTTTCCAGAAATATTCTGGTGTTCTTTGTAGACTTATATTGAATTTTGAACTATTCAGGTCTGAATATGATGACCAGCTTGTCAGCATTTTGGAGCGGGGCAACAGATGAAGGAGAATAGGTGGGTAAGAAAACGGAGGACCAAGAGAAGCAGCATAGGGCATTTTGTGCACTCCTTGCCAAGCTTGAATAACTAGTGTCTATCTCCAAAAATAAATGGGGTGGGGGTATGGGGTGTGTTAACCTTTTCACTTCTGTGAATGTCACCTCTCTCTTCAGGCTGGCAGAGTTAACAAGCTGTGCAGACTCCAGCTGGGACAGAAGACAGCTACCATCTTTCTTAGGACTTTATCTGTTGTGAGCACATCACATCTGTGCTCACACCCTCCAGCATCTTGTAGTCAGCTTCTGATACCATCTGAAGTCTTTGATTCTGTTTTAGGCCTGGATTAGGCCAAGTTCCAGAAAAATAAAGATCAGGATGTCACATCAGTCTGTGATCTCCCATAGCAACTGCATTCCAGATCACAGAGATCGAGTGTATGAAACCTGGAGAAAAGCCTTCTTGGTTGAGAGATCTAATTTGAGGAAACCCTACCTTATGCAATTAGAGAAATTGTTTTTCTGACCATCTTCAGCAAATGGCAGGAACTCTTTCTTCTTAAGAAGACCTTTCTACCATAGTAGCAGTCAAATATCTCCTTTACTTCCCAGTTTGCCCTAGCTTGCTCTCTCCTCTCAAAAATAATATCTCTTCTTGACCAAAAAGCAGGGCAGTGTCAGAGACGTAAAAAGTCAGCAGGGCCACAGCATGAAATGCTGAGACAAAAGGCAGGAGAGGTTGAGTAGTGAAGAGCCAAATAACTTCCATTTCTTTTAGTTTTCCATGCAAAGAAAGTCCTTTAAAAATGTCTATAATATCCCATGCTATCCATTTGACCATAGTGCTGAGGTAATCTGTAACAAAATACAGTGTTGCTGTACCCAGTAGAAGAGAAAATGCATTTCTCCTCTCCAGTATTTCCATTAGAGTTTATAAAGAACTGGGCAGTAACAGACTTTCATATTATTATGCTGTTATATATATACGATGCTTTTCTGCAGCCACAAGGATAATGGATTATTTATAGATTGTAGAAACTGTCACTCACTGACCATATTGTATTGTGGAGCATATAGATTCTACATAATGTAATTACCGTTGGAAAATTGACTTCCACTTGAAACTCAGAGAAATTTATGTTTTAGTGACCTCACTCTGTGAGTGAGTCTGAGTGGCAGCAGCTTCCAATACTTTTTTCTTACCTGTTTTGGGGGTTTTTTTTTAATGATTTCTGATCATTTCACATTTTAAAGCAACTGGAATGGGTTGTTATAAGCCTTAGTAGTCGTTATTCCTGTTAATACCAGAAAGCGACTAAACTGCTGATGGGAGTGAAGTAGAAAACTATTTGAAAAATTCATACAGACATTAACAGAAGGACAACAGCATCGAGTGAGGTAGGGTCCAACTTGCCTAGCATCCTCTCTCCAGCAGAGACTTCACCTGGATGCCTAGGAAAGAGCAACAACAGGGCAGGCATATTACATTAGTAAGGCAGAAAACAGTATACGTTTTCTAGATACACGAGTACACATAAAAACTGTCCAGACACAGGTACACATCTATATGAAACACTCTTACCCAAAGTAGTCTCAACAGGCAAGAAGAAGCGTACTCAGATTTTTATCCAGATGCCTGAAATTTTGTCAAGACTTACTGATTCCTATTTTAGGTTTTTTTCTTCTGGTTTTCTTTCTTACAACAGGCTGGAAATGACAAAGGAGGTGGCAATTTTAACACATTAGTCTTGCCTCTTTTTAGACTCTGTAGCTTTTACACACCTTGGTTATAACTCCTTTTCTGGTTTTTGCTTTTGTTTCTTTTTAATGCAGTGCCAGTGGCAGATATAAAAGCTGTTGTGACTGGGAAAGACTGCCCTCACATGAAGGAGAAAGGAGCTCTTAAACAAAACAAGGTATGGTTCTCAAATTGTTATGAACACACACCCTGCAGAATACAAAGCTTGTCAACTTGACCTTCCCTGAAGTAGTACAGGTGTTTTTCATTCCAGCCTGCCACCTTTTTGTGTAGGCACACACACTCTGTTTTCACTTCACACGATTTGAGTTAAATTATTAGGACAGTCTATGCTCCTTTACTCAGGTTTCATGGCAGACGTGCATTGTGGTATGCCCAGAGCACATTAGGGTAGTCTTTAGTAGTGGTGTCTTCTACCTCTAAAGCAAAGCAGTTTTGACTGCTGCTACAGAACAGCGCAGCAATGATTGTTGGTACCTACTCCTATATTGTCCCTGATAAATAGCTAGTTTGTTCCAGCTGTATTCTCTGATGAGTTCACATTCAGTGAACACTGGCACATGCCAAATTTGCAATTAATGTCCAGCTGATGATAACTTCAGGCCCAGTCAGGTAGAAGAACAACTGCCAACAAAAGGATGTAAGGTAAATGCTAGGCACTTAATGAGGTGTATAAAGATGTGTTCAGCAGTGCGTTTGGGAAAAAATGTGTAGGAGGCAATGGTCAGCTTAAATTAGATTTATGCTACCTTTCAGAGTTTCAGATCAAGAGCTGTGAACTGACAGTAGGACTCAAATTGTACAGTGCCAGAATCTTGCAGAGTTTTTGTTGGTATGAATTGCCATTACAGCAAGAAGAAATTGAGTTACTAGCAAAGTCTGACATCTTTGGTAGTGATGGTCTTCATGCCATACTGTATGAGGTATGTTCGTAAGCGTTCCATCAGGTTGTGCCGTCTGACCTTACGAGAAGGCGTGAGACTCTAATGATGTTCTAGAACCACACCCTGAGGTCTGGGGACCAGGTCAGAGGATTTGAATCAGAATTTCTAGTTACCTGAAACTGAGAAATTTTGGGTCCAACTAGAAAGATATTTTGATGGACAAAATAGTGAAGTTAAGCGTTCCTGCTTCAGCACTTTAAAAATAAGATGCATGCATTTAGTGATCAAATAAGTACTGGAAAAAAGAGTTCTGATAGGAACCACAGAACGTGAAAAGGCACTGTCAAAACTGCATCACACAACTGTTGCAGCTTCATAGCTGCAACTTTTCTTTCCTTAACTGTACGCAGATACGCAGAGCATCTCGAGTATTCTTTGCATATGTTTCTCATACACAAGTTGCTCTAAGTCTATCAGGATACCATCATCTCCTTTCAGCAGTGGCTTTACATGGTTGGAAATGAAAAAGTCAAGCCAAGCCAGGAAAAAAATCCCAGGAGTATTTCTCCTTGTTGATTTTCTGAATCAGGGCATTAACACACACGCACACAATAGATTGCATACAACTCCTACCTCATGTTACAGCTGAACCATCAACAACATTTGGCTGGGGCATTTATATGATGCATATAAAGTATTTTTAGTGCTTCCTTGTCTTAGCACTCATATGTCCGCACAGAAAGGAAAGATGAGAAGAAGGAAAGTAGTGGGTGGCAGTGATGGAAATGTGTCATCTTTATGGAGCGGTAATGTCTAGATAGTATTTAATGCTAAATAGCAATGCTGCAGATGAGTTTGTCCTCAGCTGTCAGCATCACCCCATTTCCTCAGCTAAAATTGCTTTGGACTGACATAAAACTGCTGGCTGAGAATGTGAAGATCAGTAGTTCATAGGTAGCATGGCTGCATCCATAGCTGGAGCATTCCACTTGTGATCCTGGCAATAATAATTATGATGTTCTTACTATTTCTGGTGTGGTGGGGGATTTTGGTTTTTTTTTTCCCTCCTCGATTCCTTGTTTTTTTCCCCTGAGAATCACAGAATTGGTGAAATTAATTGTCATCCCAATCAAACTCTCATGCGCAATATTGCAACTACTTAACTGACATCATAGGAATAACACATCATTGTGGAGTACCAGGTTAATGTGGACAATGAAATGAAAATTTAAAAAAAAAAAAAAAGTCAGACATAGAATGCGATTTGGCTGAGTTTAATGTATGAAACCTGAAACTTCCTGAAATTTCACAATCGGTGATACATTTTTTAAGAGGCCTTTTCATCCTGTGCTTTCTTTGTACATATATAACGACCACCTTAATGTTTAATCATTGGCAGAAAAGAAAATTGAATGGCAGAATGCCACTGCTATGAACATAGCTGGAATTGGCAGAATGTCCGTAACAAAGGCTTCAGTGTCTCTTCGTTTGCCGGCACATGGTCGTTATTCTTCCAGCGGGACCATTTAGAAATAAATAAGAGTTAAACTGAATTGGAATTTGCATATGTATGAAGCTGGAATGACTTGATAGGACCAGACCTGAATCCATTGTTGTTCATCTTGCTTGTGGTTTTAAATTAGGTTTAATTTTAAAGCCCTCATTTCTGACTCTCGAGTAATATTAATGAATTTCAAGGAAATAAAATGTTAGATTTTGCAGCCTTCAAAACAAAGCGCGAGAGAAGAATTTGGAAAAAAACACTGCCATGTATTTCTAAGTGTTCTTCTATCACCCTTTATTTGCTGATGAGGCAGGCTTCAGGCTTGGTGCCTTTTTAGTCAGCAGAAATGGCTCTGCTCACTTCCCTATTCTCCTGCAGCTCCTCTTCTGTTTTGTTTCATGTTGGTTGAACAAGTTCCCTGCCGCTGCATGCATAGATAGTTCTTGCGGGGGGGATCTTCTGGCTCTGGCAGGCAAACTTAACATGGCTGTGGTCTCCACCTTCGGCAAAGACATGGTTGTTTTGAGGCTCTTGATGACAGAGTAGGCAGAGGGTAGTGAGGTCATTCCAGCTGCATGGGATCACTCAGCCGTAGGCACCTAAAATGCCTCTTCATCAAAAATAGCTTGTCTCTGGCCCATGTGAGGGTCCAGCGGAGACTGTGGGAGAGAGAAGCTCTGGGTGTGGGAGAGCAAGCTTCCCTTCATACCACCTGCAACAGCTTTCCCCGCAGACCTGAAACCAAGGAGTGGGAAGTGTGCAGCCACCAGGTGCAGAGTCTCTTGTTCCCTGTTTTCAGTGAAGCTCAAAAGAGGGGCACGTTGTGGGTCCCAATACCTTTGACAAGCATCTAGGGAAGGGCAGAGGTCTGAAATGGGCAAGGGTAGAAAGAGTTAGGAGTGTCAAGGGACTGAGTTCAGCAGACTGAGGTGGGGGAGGAGGAAAGCAAAACAAAGAGGGAAGGAGCAGGTTGGAATGAATGGGAGAGAAGAAAGACCGGAGTGCAAGAGAGACTGGTGGAAAAAGCTGGAGTGGAAAATAACTTCGAGAAAGGTTGAGAAGTAGGACAGAAAAGGGAGGAGAAAGCCACAGACGGCTGACGGAGAGTGGCCAGTTTTCGTTTAGGAATTGCCGATTCCTCAAAATCACCTGTCATTGATGGGAATGTAACGAAACCAGGTAGGGGTGCCTGACAAGTCAGCCAGCTCAACCACTGAGACCACCATCAGTGTGGAGGGCCAGTTGGCAACTCCAGCTCCTTAGGTTTCCATTTTCCTTGACAGTTTGCTGTGCATGAGGTGACAGAGACGCTGGCACCTGGAAGCTGTAATTCCTGAGCCTTTAGTCTCTGGAGCAGCCAGCGAAGAAGCTGAACTGGAGGCAGGGCAGCCAGACTCCCACTTTCCCCCCTAAAGGGAAGCTTGGTGCCCTAAATGTAGCCCTTTCTCATTCTCTACCTGACTGGGAATCACCAAACCCATGGCTCCCTGGGATATTCCTCTTTCAGGCAGGGTTTTTCTCTCCTTTTCCTTTCTTTGAGATGACAATCCCTTGGAATTTCCCAAAGGACAAATATACAGGGGCCAGGCCTATGGGATTGTTGTTGACCTTCATGAAATTCAGGAACATCACAGTAGAGCAGTACAAGCCCTTTTTTCAGTGATACATTTTATTTTCACAACCTTAGTTGCATGACTTGGCATGTTCTGTCAGTAATTTATAACACTCTGTGAGGAGATAGTGCCAGGTTTGTGTGTGCAGAGGTAAATTTGTTTCTGTAATGAGGGACATCACTCTTAATGAGGATGCGGCTGAGAGACACGCCTAAAACACAAAAAGGCTATGTGAGCCGTGAGCCATTTGTTTGCTGAGTGCACCAGCGCTATTGGTATCTGCAGCTTCCGTGGGGATTTAACACAGACTTGCCTCCTGTGGCCTGGCAATACAGCGAGTTGAACCTAATAACTAAACTCAAGGAAATCAAGAGCATTTCCCATGAGAAGCCTGATCTCTGATCATCCAAGATTATCCCTAAGGATTGCAAGTTTTATGAATCAGACTCTGCTCTTAATCACACAAGTTCAAAAATGAAATAACCTTTACTGAAATCCAAAGACTGTCTGTTCCAGACCAGGAGATCAGGGGTAGAAATCTAGAGCAATGCATATGCTGCAGTCCCTGCAGTCAATTCTTCCATTTTAAAATTTAGTGTAGCAAATTTAAGAAGCCATGCTCTTGTCGCTGCTGGCAGTGTAGGACCTCTCAGCAGACTGTCAGCTGAGAGTCAGCAAAGGCGATCAGTATTATGGGGCTCAGGAAACCAACATGAAAAAAGAACAGGACATATGATACAGATCAAAGTAGTTACGAGTCAGCACTCTCCTCTGTAGCCAGGTCTTTTTTCCACGGAGTTGTTACATCCGTATCAGCTAGCTTACAGGTTGTGAAATCCTTGTAACGGCGCTTGTAGTGATGTGTGCAGTAACCGTGATAACACAACATCTTTACATGCTCACTGCTGGCCAGTGGAAGTTCATTATTTATTCAAATGGAATGGGTTTCCCCACAGGAACCCATGTCCACGTGACTTTTAGGGAAGGTCAGTTCTTAATGAATTCCCTTTGGCACCTTTGAAATTCCAGCTTCAATGCTGAGGGGAAAAAAGATTATCATTTTTTCCTTTCCCAAGATCCATTTGGGTCTTTGTGACTAAGTAACCCAGATAGTTCAGTTTGACTGAGACTGCTGATTCTGGTTCAGGTAGAGACAAAATGACAGAAATCTCCTGAGAATGAATAATTTAATAGATTTCCAGCAGTGAAAAGAGCATAAGTATATACCAGGAGATTAACTGTCCTGGCAAGATTTTTGACACAGGGAATCAAACCTTGCAGAACTTTCCAAGTTTAATCTATACAAATTGAAGAAACCATGGGTCTTCATGAAGAGTTTGTTGCAAGTGTACTATTATGGGTTATATTGATTTTAGTCCTCGCCATTGCCTAGCTCAAATCTAAACTGAAATGCTAAAGTAATCCACGACCGAGTGAGCTACAGTCAGCACTGAGGGGGGTGAGTTTGTTTTGACTGAAGCATCTGTGTTGGGGTTCTTGCTGTACCAGTCTGTTGCAGTGGTCTGGTACTGCTGCAGCTTTGGCCAGGCGGGAGGGTACCATAACCTATTTTTCCACTTGTTTCGGGGAATAAGTGGTAGGGAAGAAAGACAGACCTGAATGTATTAATGCCTCTTTCATGCAGCATTAATATATGTTTCTTTGTATTCCAGGAGGTGCTAGAGCTTGCTTTCTCTATATTGTATGACTCGAGTGGCCAGCTGAATTTCATTGCTCCAGACAAGCATGAGGTAAGTCAAGTTCAGAGTACAGAAACTTCTTTGGAGCCCTCTTAGTTGCTTTATGGCAGCAGCCAGCTTTATAAGAACATAAGAATGGTCATCCTGGCACAGAGTTCAGGTCCATCTAAACCTGTGTCATGTCTCACAACAAACTGAAAGCAGAGGGATTAGTATGGGAGCAAGATCTTCTGCAGCTTTCATGCATATCCTGAGCCACAGAAGGAAAATGTTTTGTATTTGTACATCATAAAGCGCATGAGGATCCAAGTTCAAGATCAGTATTTCTAAGCCCTACTGAAATAGGAACCGTAAGTAAGAGAAAGAAGAGAGCTTGGGCATACCCTCACAGTTTCCACAGACCTTGCTCACCATTTCCTGGTATAGTAAAGATTTCTCCTGGTCTGGTCTACCCTGGAGGGTTTTTGCTGTGTGTTTACTTTAGTGAACTTTAGTTCAACACCAAAGATTTGTACAGCCAAGCTCTTAAAGAATCACTGCCATCCTCAGGTCGTCTTGATGATGCCAACATAATCAGGGGAGGTTATACCATTGTTGGGTCTCAATTTCAGCCAAAGACTTGTGTTCTCCAGGACAGCATATCCACTTATTCTTACTTTCACATTGCTTAAGACCATTCATGACAGGTGATCATAGAAGGTCCTTTCTATTGCATCTCCACAGGGGGTTGTTTTGCAATGGGTGTCACTTGTATGAAGACAGTGTAAATACCAATAGCAAAGCAGAATGACAGCCTCCTCCCTGCTTCCTTGTCTTACTTGAAAACACAAGGAAATAGACAACACCATTGCCTTTTGGAAGGTGATGGAACTAATTTACCTAATTATGTGGAAGCATTGGATGTCTTTCTCTCAAAGAACTTCCAAGTAAAGATTTAGCAGAATGCACTATATTGAAAAATAAAGAAGGAATAAAGTTTTTCCTTCTTATTTCTAAAGCAACAAGAGTCGGTGTTCCATTTGCACACTTACTTTGTGGTATCACATTTGGTCTCAGTTCAGGACACTGTGTTAGGATGGTGAAACACAGAAGCTTGCATTAAACTGCGTTATACTGTAATGTTATTAAAGTACATGAAATTGCATTACAAGTGAAGTGTATTTACACAGCTTCAACATTTGCAATTCTGGATTAAAACCTTCAAATAAATGTTCATTTTAGGAGAGGAAATTAAGTTATGCTTATTTGGGTTTTCCTGGGGATTAATATTTGAGTTTCATTTTCAAGTACGTTCATTCCAGAGAAATATTTGCTGGTCAGTTTTGATCTAAGAGAAAGCAGCGGTAGCATCCCAGGCATGATGTGCCATTAGAGCTGTAGGTCTAAGCAAAGCATGATTGTCTTCATCCTCTGAACTGAACGTATGTTAGATGCTTTCTGATATAAATTCTCCAGAGTCTGAATTCTAGTCTGTTCCAGCTCATAAGAGCAAATGGTCATGAAAATCGACAAATTTTTCAGCCACATGTAGCCATAGGCTATATTTGAGATACAAGTGTATTTTAATGGTCTAAATGTTCAAAAACTGCTACAGCACCCCACTGACAGGCAGTAGCATTGTGAGATGCACTAACCCAATTGCTCATTATTGTGTTAACACACCTATTCTCTTTATTTCTCTTTTTGATCTTGTGCAGCTTCTTAGAAACAAAATTAGTATGTTCAAAAAAACAGCCAGAGGCAGCAGTCTCTGCTGCTACTGACAGTTCCCAAGTGAATGTTTTCAACAGGGCATCTCACTTCCTCTGTACTTTTCCACGGCCTGCAGAAGAGTGAGCTGTAATTAAAGCAAAAAGTGCAAATGTTCAGAGGAAGCACCCGTAAGGAAAGGCAAGTAGCATGTTACGAAGCCCATGACTCTTCATCAAAGTAGCTGGGGTGCTTGTCAATAGAAGTGCTAGTTTAGCAGCGTTGTCAGCTTGGGAAATTTGGTGGGTGACATCTTAAGATTTAGAAAGCTTTGTGTGAAGCACCAGGAATGATGTTAGTACATGACAATTTCGGGTGTTTTTTCAAGCACTTCTACAGTCCTCATGATTGTAGAGTGACGTCTGAATGTGGGGATTGTGTCCTAAAAACAAAAATTGAATGAGGATCATAGGATGATTCAGGTTGTAAGGGACCTTGGGGGTGTCCCCAGTCTGACCTCCTGCTCAAAGCAGATCAGCGATGAGCTCAGACCAGGTTGCTCGGGGCTGCATCCATATGGACGAAGCCTGCACAACCTTTCTGGTTGTCTGGTTCCACTGACTTGAGTCCCAAAGTATTTCTTTAATAAAATCTCATTACTGAACCAATATCATTGAGATTTGGACCTCATTCTTACACACTTAAGTTTGGCAATACTCTTAGCCATCTGTTGGAGCTTACTGCTAGCCAGAGGATTCAGCACTGTGAGATCACTCCATCGTATTTGTTTTTCATTTAAACACTAATAGCTGGTTTCAACTACATAGCAAAAAGGTGGATTAATCTTATCCTTGATTTTTGACAGAGAAACTGATGAGGGAGGCTATAATTAGGTTTCATTGGAGTTTTATGAAAATGAATCTGTAGAAAATTAATTTTTCAGTGGCTCTTAGTCTGTTTTGCATATTAAAAGGAAAAAAAGCTTCTGAATGAATGCCTCTGTTTTTCCACTATCTCATTAGGATTTCTCTCTGCTCAAAATGTACAGGAGTTTAATTAGATGCACTTGCCAATATGGAGATTAGAGAGGAAGCCCCTTTTCCAGGCCATTGCACTCATCTGAACTGTGGCCAGAATTTGGTTTCTGTGGGCCCTGAATGAGTTATGTCTGGAAGAGGAGAGAAATGCAGTTCTGCTTTCTGGCTCGCTGGGATTCCTCCCCAGAGAAAGCGCTGGCCATACTCACTGAGCAGGTGATGAACGATTTACGTCAGGGGCTGCATCTGCACTTCTGTAACCTGAGCAGGGCCTTTTGTCTTTCTGTTGCTTTCCTCAAAGTGAATGCTGGGAAAAGTTTCCCAAAGAAAGCTTTCAAGTCGATCATAAAAAATTATAGTCTGTTCAAACATAATTACATTTCTAGGGTAGCTTCTTTCTTTTTCTGATGTTCTGCGTATACTCCACAAAAATCGCATGCTTCAAAAGTCTTCAGTGACACACTTTGAGAGCCTAGAATAGGCAGGCTAAGTTGTTTCTTTAGTACTTGTTAGCAGGACAGCCTGAACCCTAAAGCTCTTCTATATAGCTAATCTCGTATTAAAGCTGCAGCTTGGCTTACCAACACCCTGGGTGAAATCCTAGCTCTGCTACTGTTTTGTTACTGACTTAAATGGGTCGGATTTAACTTTGGATGGTGAAGTGTGTCAACCATCCTATTTTAAAAATATGCCCTTCTTCTGGATGAAGACGTACCCCAAGAGGGGTTTTTCTCTCTCTCCCTTAAAAATAATCCTCATTTCTGCTGTAGGATGAAGTCAACCATGGCTATCTTTAAACTTGGCGGTATCATGTAGCAAATGGTCAGCTAAATTTAAACTCCATTTTCTGGCATGAAATCTAGCAGAAGTATTTGTAAGATAAAAATGCAGTTACGGTTGATTTAATTTTCTCCTGCAAACTAGGACACAAGTTCATGATTGAAATCTTTATTTTTAGATGATAGCATTTGAGTACTTCTGTTCATAGTTGAATAAATGGCTTGTAGTAATAAATGGAAATGACTTATTTGATAGAAGATGACTCTAGATCACCAATCTCCTTGGGTTTGTTCCTTATTTAAAATGGTTATTCAGCCCGTGTTTATCTCAAGCTATCAGCTGTTGGGAAAGATGGCATCTCCTATTAGGAAAAAGCAAACAATAAGGAAGGGGTTTTAGATGCCAGTTCAGCATTTGCGGCATTTAGAATTGCACCAGGAAGCTTGGCATTTAATTTTCATGAAAGACACAGCATTGATTGACGCTGTAGTTTTCACAATATGTTATTTCGTGTAAAATAGTGGTAAAGTAGGCATAGATATGTAAGTGAGATCCTATCTTTGTGTAGGTCAATTGATAACACTTAATCTATAGGAAAACAAACCACGATAAAACTAGATAGTTGATACAGGACTTCTTACACAAAGAGTCAAGAAGGATTTTGGGTGGGATTCACTTTACCTAACTTAGTTGTCTTGGAATTAAAAGTTTGGTGTAAGATAATCAGGCTCTTTCTGTAAGTATTGGGGAAAGAGAAAGAGAGGGGAGAAGGAGATATCTCCAGAGGTTCATGGTCCTAAGTTAGGTATTGCTCTTTCTCCCATAACTGTTGAAGAATATTCAACAAGACGTTTGGAGATACCTAACTATCAAACAAGTAAATGTCGTAATTTCTTCCCATTTTTAGGGAATTGTTTGTCCATTTTCTGAGCCATTCAGTGGAACATGCCTTCTTCATGGTACGAGCTAATAAAATGAATCAACCTTATTTTAGGTCTCTTTGTAAGTCCCTGTGGGAGCAGTAACTGTAGAGGACCAGGACAGACAAGCAGTTTGTGTACAGAAAGTCTGTTAATGATTATCTGTTACGTTAAAAAGTTTAAAATCTTCATGTTTTTATCTTTTCCACGTGCAGTATTGTGTATGGACCGATGGGCTGAACGCCCTCCTTGGGAAGGATATGTTGAGTGATCTAACGCGGAACGACTTAGACACGCTGCTCAGCATGGAGATAAAGCTACGCCTCCTTGACTTGGAAAACATACAGATCCCAGATGCTCCCCCACCTATCCCAAAGGAGCCCAGCAACTACGACTTTGTTTATGACTGTAACTGAGGCTGCCACTGAAACTTGCTTCGAAACTGGATATACTATAACTGGAGAGATATTAAAAAAAAGAGTGTGAGGAAAAAAGAAACCCACTTGTGCACCTTGGATTTTGGCTTTGGGGAGGGGTGTAGAAACACTTGCATTCCTCCCTGGTCCCTGCATTCCTTCCTTCCCCATTCCCATCTTCCCCATTGCTCATCCAAATCCACATTGCTTTAATTAACTTGTAATTGCAGGCCATTGGCCTTGCTTAAGGCAAAGACTGCCACTAAGAAGCACCCTCCCGAGGACTTTTTTTACATTTTTAATACTGGAATAGACATTCTTAACTAAAGGACGATGTTATCAAACTGCATGCCTGTGAAACCCACTTGGCAGGGCAGAGGCTTTAACTGGAAGGAGGAGGGAGGTAGGGAGCAGAAGCAGCTACTGTAAGCAGAAGATTTCCCCAGACACTCCCAAGAGTCTGCTCACAACTGAATCCAATGCGATGATGAAAATCGTTAACTGCTTCCCAGTGCTTGCACCATTCGTCACTGTCATTATTCTTTCCACTGCATCTCGACTCTTGCCACCAGCCTTCACCCAACTGATCGGCTACCAGAATGGAAAGTCTGCAGGTTTTTGCTGTACCATACGCTGCAATGCTGCAACACCTTTTAACTTCTTTTCCTCCCAGCTCTTAAATAGCCCCACACTAGCAGATCACTCGCACAAACTGTGTATGAAGCCACTAGTGTGTCCCATCCCTATAGCGTTCCCTAAGCCTCAGTTGCCTCTAAAATTGGCTTGTTGCTATTCGAAGTGATTTTTATTTTCTTGGTCCAAAGTTCAACAGTAATTTCCACAAATTAATTACAACTGCCAAACATCCAGGTTTACATTGTTGTCATTGCTACAGTGTTACGAATTTGCAAGGGATTTTTTTTGTACGGGTTCTAATTTTTTTATTTTATTTTGCCAAACAAATATATTTAATGAAAACTAATTTCATTGTGAGTACTTTTGGGGGACAGTATTTTTACTTAATTTCCATTTGGAACATTTGCCCTGAAGGGAAAAAGTAATATTTCCCTTCAACTTCACTGTTGAATAAAAATCTGAGTTGTGATGATTCTTGGAACTTCGTTTTTCTTCTGAAGTTGTCTTTTATTCTTTATGGTTCCTAGCAATTCTGAAGTGTTTGGTTCAAAGAGGAGAGGGAAGGGTGGAACCTTTCTTACCTGCATCTGATTTAATTTACTTGTTTGTTTGTTTGTGGTGTCAAGGATGAGATGCATCCAGAGATCTCCATCGCCATGGGTACACAAGCCTTCCTGTGAGAAGAACCCTCTGTGAAATCCAAAATCACAGCACACTGATGTGCTCGTGGTCATTTTAGGGCTGCCGCCTTTACTGTGTTCGCTGGAGTAACTGTGTTCCTGTATTTCCATTTCCTCCATTGAGAGTGTTTCTGGCTGCAGCAGACTGGTAATGGGGAAGTTTGGGCTTTGCAGGATGGATTCCCTCCCTCCTCATGTTCTTCTAGGTATTTCTGTAAGTTCAATATCTCTTACTCCAAAAGCACCGGGTCTAGATCTAGAGGAACCCGCCAGCCCTTTCCCGCACAGGCTGAAGACAGATGTTTATTTGTGTGAGTTCCTCTCCTATGCAGACCCAGCTGAAAAAGGCTGTGAAGGGGTTTTATCAACGCTTGTGCTAGTGAGAAACCTAGAGGGTGGTTCCAGTGTAGACAGTCACAGAAGACCTCAACTGAGGTGATCTTTGCTCCATCCAGCCGGCTCTGGAGTAAACATCCTGACTGACTTCATACCAGGTGAGGAGAGAAATGATGTCCTGCAGGTGCAACGAAAAGGAGGATGAGGAGAACATTGTATGAATTCAAGCATGAGGGTCCTAAGGAAGGTGCCTTCCTGAAGCTGTGTGTGCAGTATTTCATGAATGCCTTGATCTAACAAGGAGACGTAAGTTGGTTTAGGTGGTAACGGATGGTAAAATAAGGAAAAAAGAGACTGAGTTAAACACTGGAGTAGGAAGTTACAGTGAACTGTGGCCTGAGAGGAGATTCAGTCTGAATGAGAGCAGGGATGTGCAACATGAGATGTGGGAGTTTGAGATGTTTTATTCTCCGGAGCCATATCAGACGATAGCAAAGGTAGTCAGGGGTCAGGAATGAGTGGAGGCAAAGGCACTGTCTGCCACAGGGGCTTTTGGTGTGGTCCTGGGTGTGGGGGATGGAGGTAGGAACACGTTTCTTTACCAGACACTGATGCTGCCTTTTGTCTGCGTGAAGACAAGACTCGGAGCAAAACAGAGAATCTGAGTTGTTTTATTAATCTCCCTGACCCAGCTGGATGGCTTGGCTGTGCATAACCTTTGCTTTTTATTTACAGACTGCAGAGCTGGTGCTTCAGATGGGTATTGCTTGTTGTCAAAAGAAACACCTTTCACTCCTGAGTGATAAGAGCCAAACGCTGCCAGGTCAGTGGCAATACGATGCGGTGATCTTGGCAGGTAGGCGTCTGCGTGACAGTCAGAAAGGAGAAAAAAAAAACAAAACCTCTTCCGGGGGACAACTTGAGCAGGAGGGAAAGGTTAGACTTGCCTTCCCCACTAAGGTGAGTGCCCCAAATTGCACACCAAGAGCCCAGGGAGGTGGTGGGACAAGAGCTGGCAACCCAGCCCTCAGTTTTTACGAACACCTCATGCCCATCCACATTACACCGAGGCACATCGACACCACTCGGGTAGCGTAGGGCTCTTGAGCGTGAAATGCTTGCAGCTGGCTCTCTCCTTGCACCCCTCGGGCCTTGTGCAAGCAGGCGACACAGCCCAGCGGCCTCTCTCCTGCCCTGGGACTCTCCAGGGTGGACGCAGCCTGACCAGGGAGGGCCAGGGCCAGGGCCAGCTGGATGCCGTGGCACTGCCACGTGGCTCTAGCTCACTGCCTCCTGCAGCCCTGCATTACAGGACCCCCACCTCCTCACGTGGCCCAGCTCTTTGTATGGGTTATGCATCGTGTGGGCCAGTCACGTGAGCAGGCATGCTAAATTTGTCACCCCCCACGTGTCCCACCCTGCCATAAGAAAGAAGAAGCTCGAGAGATGCGTTGGCATAATAGCCCATGCAGCTATTTTAAAAGCACTCCCACAGCAACGCGAAGGGCCATGGTGCAAACAAGAATCCTGCCTTCAGTTTCTAGTGCTGTCATGCAGGCTCGCTTCACCATTATGAAATGAAAAAAAAAAAAAAGTTTAATGATGAACAAGTATCCCGCTGCTTCCCATTCATTTAAAAAAAAAATGAGAAAGAAAATGGCAAATTCATTTGCTCATGCTGTTGTGTGTTCCGGAAAAGCTTTTAAGGCTTCACATTGAAGGAGCTGCAGCAGGAAAAAAATTTGCTATTGAAGTTTCTTGTATAATTTCAAAACACTAAGTGGGTAATTGCTTGTAAAAGCCATAAAGGGGAGAGAGAATGAAAAAAATAATCAGTCTAATTTTAGCTCCTGTTTTTGAAATGACTTTGCTTTTGAAAGTGAATATATTCTTTTACAAGAAAACTTGAATTGAGAAAAATATGTATCTTCTTAAGTCAACTGCTTGCCCTGCTTGTAAGGACAAGGAGAAGAAGCAACAATGCTAAGTAATCCCGCACAAAAGCAAGCCATATGTCAGAGAAAGAGCTTGCACTCCTGGGCTTTCTTTACCACTTTTCAGAAGCAATTCATTTTTCAGTATGGAGAACTCTTTTATTAAACCTTACAACTTGCAGGGAAATATAACGTTCTCTTGCAAAGAGGCAGGTGGGTGATGACTGTCTTCTGGGTTGCAAAATGACCGTGCAAGATCCTGATTACTTTTTTTCCCGAAATCCTCTCATGTCTTCGTGCCCTACCCAGGATTGCATTTTGCTTGCCCAGGGTGCTTGTTACTGACGTTTCTCCTCCCATTAGTAGTCCCCAGTAATGCAGACATGTCACATGTGTACAGGAATGTGAAGGCTTGTATGGAAACCTGGTGGGATCTGCTGCGCGGAACAAATCCCTGTCTTCTCTGGCAGACGGCTGACCGGCACGGGAGCCCTGCATGCCCGCAGCAGCCCTGTAGCCCACCAGCTGCGATCACACAGGCTCTGGCCACTGAACAGCTCTTAAAAGAGGGAGGGATGAAAGGGAGGAGAAGCAAAACCCCGTCCTAGCAGGGGGAGACGGGGAGAGAGGGGCATGGGCATGCCCCTGAACGCCAGTCTGCTTTTTGCTTACTTGTCATTGCACTGGACTGCAATGATCAGAGGTGGCTCTGATGCATCCAGCTCTACAGCGGTGCAAGCTGTTAATCCTGAGCAATAACCAGCGATGGAAGATGTTGGGAGTAGGAGAACGCTCTTGTACTGCCATATCCCCTTTCTCTCTTCTGTTGCTGTTGCTGCACTGACAAGTAAATGCCATTAGCTTCATTGTCATGTGAAAGTCGTTCATCTAAGAAGCATAATAAGATGAATGTGAGATTTTACCCCCTTCTTGTTTCATTCTTCTTGAGAGTTAAAAAATCTAGCCCTTGAATCTAGCCCTTACTGACCTCGGGATATCTTAGCTGCCAGAAACAAGCCTGGAATACTAAGCATCTGACATAAAGAAAAGAGCCCTTCCCCTTACAGCAGCGTCAAGGAGCTGCAAGTGGAAAGGATTTCCTACAACCTCTGCATGCTGCTGAGGGTAAAATCCCTGCAAACTCTGGAAGACATTCGTAGGATGGAGTTTTTGTCACCTACCGCTCGCTGAGCTGTCATTGCTTTCCCCGGAGCTTGCTAAATCAGGACGAGACTCGCTCAGTGCTCCCTCCCTTGCTAGATAATTATATTTGAATATTAAGCATCCACATGGCTTACACAAGTTCCCTGATTAACAAAGCACTTACCCATGCAGCAAAAGAGGTTTGATTTCAGTTTGATAAACAGGCACCTGAATTTAGGTGGGTGCCCATGGAGCTGGCTGGATCAGGGCCTGTGTGAGCAGAAAGGCAATTTTACTGAGTTTTCGCTACATGCTTGGAGGCGATGCAAGTAATGACTTTTCTGTGTGACGTGTAATTGGATTGGGTACCACTGGTTACTTCAGGAGGTTGAACAAGATGCTGCCTGATTGTTCAACGTCACTCCAGCTGCTTCATGCATCTCTGGGACTTACACAGAGGTAAAAGTATTGAAAAGGGAACCCCTTTCTGTATTAAATCAGGCTGAAACGTTAGAGGGGAGTGGCGTCAAAAGCACCAGTTTGTTAGGGCACGACCAGGTGTAAAATGGATGTTGGAAGAGCCATGAATTTTTATAGCAAGGTGATTTCAAAGTGCTGATTCAGGGAGCGCCGTCCTGCGGCAGCCTCCCGAGGGCAAGGTTAAAAGAACTAGAGACAGTTTCAAACTCGTTTAGTAGCATATATTTACATTTTATTTTCACTTCTAGCTGGGAGACCTTGAAGGTCTCTGAAGAGCAGAGCTGGTCTGATGATGCTTAGCTTGCAGGGACACACGTAGGGCAAAGGAAACATTTCATGAGCCGTTCTTCTCCAAATGGGGAGATTGCTATTGGAAATAGAAGAGTTTTCTGAACTGATGTGTTTTTTCAACAGAGAATTTCTCAGCTTTTCCATAGCCACCTCGCTGGAGGTGTTATGCAGAGATCAGTAGCTGTTGTGGTTTTATACTGTCTTGGAAGAGCCAAACAAGCCTCCTCATGTTGGGAGCCTCGCCCAAACCCTCTCTCATCCTATTTGCCTCTTGTTTATAGACCATTTCCTATAAGATGCGACCTATGGGACAGTCACGAAGCTGGGAGACCCGGTGCTGCCTGTCCCAAGCAGGACGCTGGCCTTGAGTTTCATCCCAGGGAGGATATGGCCACAAGACAGCAGTGCACGTAGAGGGTGGGAGGGAAAAGCGACACCTAATACAATTTTGCCAAGAGATGCAGCCAAGGGCAGGCTTTCTTTCCTGTGACACTTAAGGATGTGTCTTGAATGACTTTATTTCAATTGTCATTAGAGGATTTTGCAGCCTGATTGAGCACCGCAGTTAAACTCTCCCTTGATGAAACCTCATGAGTCTAATTTTAATCTT